GATGGTGCTATAATGATCCAGTAGGGACTTTGTTAGAGACAGAGTTATAGCATAGTGACCCCACGAGGGCCGCTTTACATGTTCAGGATAATATGGGTGGTTCTGAAGTGTGGGCGCCTCAGCAGTCGCGAACAACCCAACGCCAGTGGGCTGCATCGAATAGGAACCGGACTGACGCTCCCCAGCATGGACAAGGAGCCAGGAGCAAAAGGACCTGTTTCCCAAAAAAAAAAAGGAAAAAAGAAGGGGATATGAGTCATATGACTGACAGTAGATGTTGTGGGCAAGGTCCCAGTTACTGGGATTCTGAATCATTCTTCATTTCCGGATGTTGATCCTCACAATTCACAGCTAGAAAACAAGAGCCCCCGTAGGTGGGACCTGGCCACCGGTGGGGGGGGGTCCATATGTGTAATGTTATCCCTTAATAAGTTAATAATAGTATAATACCCTTGTAACTAACTACACCTTTCTGTGGAAATGTACAGATATAGCCATAGGCATGACAGTCTAGTGAGGCCTGACAACCCCCCAACTCACCTTGCATGGTTGTAATGATCCCCGCTTCACTTGTTAGTGCGAATCAAGCCTTTGGGTCCACCGATACCTTTTGTTTTTCCCAGGACGAGGGAGGCGTAACTGCCAATCCATGAAGAAATCCATGGTGGTCTGGTTCCAGCAATTGCCAAGCATTACCCTTTTTTTTTTTTTCTAAGGAATGCTCGTCCGACCTGTTGGGGAGCAGCCGCCTGCTGCGGAGCAGCGCCTGCTGGAAACCAGGTCCAGCATCCCATAGCGAGATACCAAATAAGAGTTGGACACCACTGCCTGGCGGAAGATTTCCGCCTGGAAAGCTTCCGCCAAACCCAAATCGTAGGCCCCGGCGATGGGAAACAGAAAAGCGGACCCCACTGCAGCACAATTTTTGGCACGTCCGTCGTTGCTGATTACCCGATAGGGAAAACTTTCCCTAGACGGAAACTTCACATCCGCTTGTCTCGGTGCTCGGCCAATCCCTGGCTCTCCATACCACATGCTATGCGCAAACCAAGGGGGGTGCCTCCCCCCGCTGAACCTGCAAGGAACGGGCAAAACCAAACTGAGTGGAAACTCTTGCCACGTCATTTGTCAGCGTTTTCCGAAGCTTTGCCGCAAAGCAGTGGGGTCTCACAAATGGTCTTCCAAAGATTTCCCGCAAAGCAGTGGGGTCCTCCTCTAAAGCAACACCACAGGATGCATAACCCATCAACTGAACATGAGATATTCTAACAGAATGGATTATTCGAACGTATTCCCCTTAGAGGAAGGATTGACTGCCTGTCTAGACTCGTAATCTACGAAAGATCATGGAGGGGATTGACGTTTCTCTTTCTTTTGGAACATCACTGAGCTAGGCCTATGGAGGGGAGAGCCTTTTTCAGTCCCAACATAAGGAGAGAGCCTTTTTCAGTCCCAACATAAGGAGGTAGCTAGGGCCTTCCATGCTAGACGACGCGGCGCCCCCTCCCCCCTCACCCACCCCAGCTAAAACTTAGAGAACCTGCATATCAGTAAACACACACTGATTGCGTCCTTGGGGACATCCGTTAAAATTGGAATGAAACAGAGAAGATTAGCATGGCCCCTGCACAAGGATGTCACGCATGAATAAAGAAATGGTCGCTCTTTTTTTTTTTTTTTTTTTTTTTCGAAGGAAGCATTGATTACTCTGCCAACAAGGAGGGATTACCTACCTGATACCTCTTCTCATAAGATATCAATCTGACGGTCAGTCGCTTTATCGAAAGACGACCACATTGGTCGGCCCTTCGGCCAGCGTCGACTGTTACCACCGCGAAGCAGCGGCCATCTGTGAGACCATAAACTCTTCATCAACCCATTACAGCTACGCCCTGGTTGGTTGGCAATGGGGAATTAAACTGTACCCAGTACTACCCACTGCCAAGCGCTTGTCTGGATCAGAATTATGTATTTCCATTGGGCGATAAGGGCCTCCAAGCCAGGTCAACCAAAGAAAAAAGCTGGGAGGGTGGGAACAGATCCATTCATTCTTTGAAAATATATCTGGTGGTCCCTTGTCCTTGCCCACCACTCTTGCCATTAACCTATCTCCCGTTAATCCCCAGCAACTACGAACGGAGATCCATTTTCACAAATTTTCAGCCCGTTTTTTTTTCGCGGATTATGGTCCTCAGCACATTCCAGTCCTCCAACTCCATACCCGAGCTCGCACCGGCGACCATGGGATCCCTGAGCACCTCTTTTGAGGATTATGATCCCATTTCCTTTCAGCAATAATTGGTAAAGAGTCTAAAGACCAATGCATCTGCAAGAGCTGTGTGAGCAAAGGCTGAACAGGAGGTGCTAGCAGTAGCAGGTGGAATCAGGCGCCCGATAGCTGGGCTGAAGATTCATCTCAGTTTGCACGCTCCTTACGCGCTCAGTCAATCCCCCAAAGGTCTGGGATAATCAATGCTGGCGGGCCAGAGCAATTGATGTAGCACACAAGTCTGTCAGAGTCTGTAATGGGACGCTGGGCCCGTTTCCCATCTGGTGATGCTCCCCACCGATGGAACGGAGCGACCGATGCCCTTACTAGGGGAGGCTGCTCATACCACCCCCCCCAGTAAAGGTCCTGTCGGCTTTCAAAAAAAAAAAAAAAAAAAAAAAAAACTCATCCTGTCATTTTTAAGTTTTAACTGTCGGAGACAAATCTCTGCGCGGGTCTCTCGTTCAATAACCTCCTTTATTATATCCCGAGCGAAGAGTTCATCTTCTGCTATTTCCTCCATCGCCCCGGTGCATGTCCTCCTCCTTTTTTTTTCTTTCCTTTTTTTTGAAGGACTATATATTAATTGGCATAATTACTGAAAATCGGGTCCAAC